GTCAAAAGAAGTAAAAATTAATCTGGACCAGGAAAAATACTGCTCTTGTTGCTAGGATAAAGATGCATTGTTATTAATAAATTACTTCCTTTTATTTGCAAGTCCATGTTAATCTGACTGGCTGAAACAGATAATGTACATAAATGTTTTTATCACTGTTGTGATCTCAAGTGAATGTAATACATTTTTAGAAAAAAGTCAACATAACTTACAGTACATCTTCAAGTGGAAAAATAAAAGTTTAAAACTTAATATTCTGTGTATGCCATTCCTGTAACTTATGAGCTAAATCTGCTGATCTCTTGTAAGTTACATGACTTGTATCATGCAACTTAAACATGTTTAATTTGTTACTGTTTGATCTGATACAACTCACTACTTTTGTGGTTATGTTAAAATGTCAGTGTATTGAGTTGCAAAAAAAAATTTGTTATAACCCTGTAGCTGGACAGTTGGAATCTGTTCAAGAAACTCACATGCCTGTTCCTTGTCCCTGTGATGAGAACAGTATCTATGTGAGCACACACAGGTACTCTAGAGGAACCCAGGTGGGCATTCCAGCCAAACAGAAACACTGTTCCTGAGCTCTTCTCTCTGATTTCTCCAACACAGTTCAAATACAAATACACATTCTCTTTTTCTCTTTCTGGCCATTTTATTTTTCATCACTGGTGTGGCTAATACTGTGACAAGGTTTAAGTGAATGTTTGTAGATATTGGAAGTGGCATTAAAATATTACTAATATATGAAAGAGGCCTGATGCGTTTTCTGAAAAGAAACATGTAAATAGTCACAGGAGGTTTTTTATGGGGGGTATTTTTTTTTATTAAATCAGAACTTGCAGCATATGGGTCTGCCTCTTTACTCAGGTGTCTCAGGAATCTGGGAAGTTATACACTCCTGCTTCCTTTTTCATGCAGCTTTGCACACAGAAAAAAAAATCATTTGCTTGCTTAACACCCTAATAACGATTAATTAGCGATGTTTTAGGCAAGAAAAAAATCTTGAAATGTGAGAATGACAGTTTTTTAGTAACCTATTTTTAGTGAGGAAGTGCTTAACTACAATTAAGTGAAGAACCTGAGAAAGCTGAAGAGCTGACACTCGGTGAGGTTTTTCATGCCCTGTGCAGCTTTATGTCCTGCTTCGGCAAGCTGGGGGGCAACTGAATGTGGCTTCTGCTGCCAGTCCCCAGGATAACCATTGCAAATACCTTGGTGCTTCCTGCCATCTCTGAGAAAGTGTTCATACTCACTAATAACCTGTTCCCCAAGACTGGCTTACACTGGGAAGTAGAGCACAGCCTTACTTTGTTGCTCAGGTGATAACAGGACCAAAAGCTCACTGGTGTTTCTTACACCACCTTCCTCCAGCTGTCTTACACGTGCTGAGCCTTGCCTACTGTGTTTTGGTTTTTGACAACACTTAAAAAGTGAGAAAGTTTTAAATCTGGTCTTCTGTAGATCTCCATCATGTGTCTGATGCTAAATATGTTTAGGTATTTTGAGTTATTTTAACAGTAATAATAAATGTTTAAGATAGCCAGTTTGGAATGACACAAAATAAAAAGGTGTCTTTTGCTGTGTCTTCCATGTATGTCGGGGTGAAAGAAGGACAGTACTACTGCTTTTATAATTGGGTTGTTCAAATCTGTGCCATCTTGAATGGATGTGGCATGTCAGTAGGCAGTCAGTAAGCACAGAAGGGCAGTGATGGGCTCTACTGCAGAGCCCTTCTGGGTGAGGTCACACAGGAAAAGTGGAAGGCAAACAGAAAAAATAATTTTAATAGAGCAGTAACTTAGGTCAAAGTATGTCAAATCTATACTATTAACTCATCTGTAGCTATGAAGGGTTTGATAATTTTGTCCTTGAGAACAACAGCACTGGTACAAGTACTATAAAAAAATACGTTTAACTATTGGTACAATGAAGAGGATCTAAAAAAAGAAAACAAAAAATCCTTAACACTCTTGGCCTGGATAATTTCATAATGGCCTTAAAAAAACAAACATTGAAAGAATATTCTAGGCATCCATAAGCCATGTTCAACTTCACTATTTCACAGCACAATTTCTGAGAACAACCTGCACCATATATTATTGTCAAGGGGTTTAATGCTGTCCAACAGCCAGAAGTTTACTTGCTTTTTTTAAAGCTCACAAGGATTTAAAACATATGAAAGTAAACCAGTTATTTAAAGTGGAATTACACAGTTAATGTCAGCAGGTTCTTAGAACCTTTCCACAATCTCAAAGCTGAAAATCTGTTTTGGAAGTACCTGAAGTACCCTGAAGTGCCGTTTCTCTTGAGTAAAATGCAGTATCAGTTACCTGGCAACTGCTGCAGTTTCCAAGCCGTGCTGGTCTCCCTGCAGTGCTTGCACACACAGGAGGAGCCCAAAGCCGTTGAGCTCCAGAGCTTCGGTAGGGCAGGAGCCTGATCCCACCTTGGGCTGGTGCTCTGTGAGCATCCAGGTGTGATGCTCAGGTTGTAACACAAGGAAGCTGTGGGCTCTGGTGTCGCCTCCAGCTCCCTCGTGCTCACAGCTCAGTTTTAATCTGAGCCAAGCTCAGGTCTCTGAGCAGTAGCCCAGGAGGTGAAAGGAAGGTCTGGGACACATAGCCCCACACACCTCTGAGGAGACTGCTACCCTTTGGTGAAACAGTGCCAGGCTGAAAAATGATGGAGGGGGTGCAAAATTCCAGGCTCAGCCTGAAGTCTGCAACTTCTGACCCACAGCTGGTGTATTACTGTTGAAATTATGAGCAGAAATTACAGTGGAGTGGGAAGGTGGAAGGAAAAAAACCAATAAACCTATCCCCTCCACCAAAGACTAAGTAATGTTAAATGTTAAAAAGTGTATTACTGTCCTGTGTAAGAAACAAAGATGGTATCTGCTAAATGAGAATTCAACCCTTTTACTCAGATAATAATGCAAACCCAAATTGCAGTACAGTAGCTGGAAAACACCGTTCCTCTTTAGATTAACTTAAACACATGGCAACCTCAAACAACAGCTAGATGGTGGGAGGCAGGATGGGCCACCAGGCAGGCATGGAAGGCTGTATTGTGGGATCTGGAGCTTGTTTCCAGCCTTCCTGTGACCTTTGGATGGATGTGCTGCTTTTGACTACCTCAGTCGCAAACTGGAGGTCTCTATCTGCCTGCCTTTCACGGTATAGTGATCTACTTAGGAATAGTGACAAATTATTCAAATGATAAATGGTAATGAGTGAGGACAGTGTGTTGTTTATGAAAATACCATATACAGTTTATTAATGTTTTTGATTTATTGCCACAATTTGTCTTTTTTCCCCAAAAGTCTGGTTCACACACTACATATACTGCAGAGAAAAGTTGAAATCTTGCTATAGGACAAAACAACTTTAGTTTAAAAAAAACCAACAGAACAACCCAAGAGAATGGAGGAAAGGCAAGATGTTGATGGTTTCTGAAAGTTCAGCAGAAGCACAATTACAATTTGCAAAGAGCAGCATTGACTGTACAGGAGAACTCCTGATAGCATTCTTTATTGCCAGAAGAAAATGCCAATGCTACCAAAGCCCCTTAAATGCTCACACCTGGCAATCAAAGATACTTTGGTGCTCGTGCCTGCGTACACACGTGCGTGCCTGCACAATTTTTTTCTTAGCTTCTGTGTGCTTTTTATAGAGATTTGCTCATCCTGTGGTTTGCCAGAAGCAGCCAGGAGGATCGTTTAATCCTGTTTGCTGTTGCAAGACTGTCGAACAGACGATTTCTGGTGCTCCAACAATGTGATTGACTTTTCCGAATTTTCCAAGTTTCTGAGCAGAGTCTCTAGCCGCCTTTTGATTTTCTTCTGATCCTCAATGGCACACCCTATTACCACAGACTGAAATTTCTGGTCGATGGGTCCTGCTGGCACATCAGATGTGCACGCACCATAAAGTGACATTAAGCGAGTTTTGGCATCTTCCAAATCATCCAGCAGTTTATTGACTATTTCATCGATCATCTTGGTGGCATGCTGCAAGGATTCCTGCGGCTGGGCTTTTCGGATGGTTTCTACAGAAACCTCCACAGTGAGGGTGCGGCCCATCAGACGATTAGCAGTCAAGTTAAGTTCTTCTCTCTCACCTAAATCAAAACCAAGAAAATATTCCAAGTTACAGGCGAATACTTTTCTGTGCAAGTTACATCATCCAGACATTAAAACTGCTACAGCTTTGCAGGAAAAAAGGTTGTTTTTTTAAGTAAGAGACAATCTGCGTTTGCCCAAGTCCTACTGATTTCTTAGAAGCCCAAGTCTTCTGATGTGAAGCGAGGCATTCAGCTTTACTAAAGATGTAAGCAATGCTTTGCTGCTGCTGACACAATGCATGCTTTTCATCAGAGAAGACAGTGATAGGACAAGGGGTAATGGTTTAAACTGAGAGAGGGGAGATTTAGGTTAGATATTAGGAAGAAGTTATTCACTGTAAGGTTGGTGAGGAACTGGAATGGGTTGCCCAGGGACATTGCTGATGGCCCATCCCTGGAGGTTTTTAAGGCCAGATTGGATGAGGTTTTGTGCAACCTGGTCTAGTGGTAGGAATCCCTGCTCCTGGCAGGGGGGTTGGAATTTGATCTTTAAGGTCCCTTCCAACCTTGATGATTCTATGAGTCTATGCTGTGTTACATTCAAGTAAAGCATACAATATTATCAGGAAATATTACTCATTAACAGAATTGGCATGTTAAGGACCTTCTGTGCCACTGTCAGGGGGAGACTTAGACAGTACCCCAGAAGGCTGTAAAGAAAAAAAAACAGATTTCTGGCTACCACGTGCAATTAGGGGCCATGAAGAAAACTCGTCTTCTATTTTCTGGAAACTTTTGTTTCCTGAAATACAGACACAGCATAATTGGCTATGTAGACTCTTGAAAATCAATTAAATCAGCAATTTAAAACACCTAATACCAAACATACAGATTTAGGGAATATATTTTAAACTGTGTATTACACAGCCATGACAATGATCTTAATCATCAGGTTCTTGCAGGTTATATACTTTGTGGCACTCATGCCTGTCCAGTAATCAAAGCCATTACAATGCTGGTTTTCCAACTGCATTTAATTATCATCATTATCATCAATTTCCCTCCCTCAGCTGAACTATATTAACCCTGATTTTGAATGAACTGGGTATGGGCTTTCACATCCACAGTAGTAACATTCACAGTAGACAACCCAGCAGAACAGTATGTGAATTTATGCAGCCAGGAACAAGGGGGTCCCAGGGTAACAGATGGCTTTTCAGTAACCTCAGCTGGCTCCAACACTTTCACCAGCAGTGAGCAGTGAAACAGAGCTAAGGCATGGGCTGTTCTGACTTTGGATCAGTGGAGAGAGTATGGCAAAGTAGCTTCTCACCTTCGCTGATGTGCCTCATATCCTGGCTGTTCTGGATATTGTGGATCATTTCTAGCAGGATTTCTTTCTCCTGTTCCATAGCAGATGCTGCGTCACGGAAAGCCTCTACCCTGAACATGGTTGAACCAAACAAAATGTTTAAATAATAAAATAGCTGTTCACCTATATAGCGGCCAAGAACTGTTTGCTTAAACTTCAGAGCAAGAAGTACAGTCAGTTCTTAATTATCCATGAGACAGACTCTCTGATTGCATGACCCTCTCCTGTATCTTCACTTTTCAAGACTCAACAGAATTAAAAAAAAACAACAGTTGAAATAAACCCAAACAACAGTAATTCAATCAGACTTAAATATTTTATCTTACTGATAGTGCTGTTCTATGCTATTCCATAGCTAGTCTAGATAGCCAGAGCTTGATAATACAGCAAAAATGCTGCAGCTAATTGGCAATTATCAATCAGCTGCTTAACTAGAAGAGACATGGACTGAGTCCCCACCAAGGAACTTGAGGGTGAAGGTTGCAGCTGTAGGGATGGAGGCAGGAAGGGGGTCTGGCTCCCCCAGGCCAGCAGTGCAGAACCCCTATGACCCACCTACAAAGCAACAAACTCTGGAAGCTCAAACACCACCTTGTAGCCAAACAGCCCCTTTCACGAGAGAGAAAAATGGGCAAGAGGGGAAAAGCAGCCTGCCTTGGTTGCTGTGAGAAGATTCTGGACCACCTGCCCCATGGTCAAGGAGCAATGCTTGCTGCGATTCACACAAGAGGGAAACTTCCATAGAAGCAGCTCCTATTTCTGCTTGCAAGGAAGCACAGAATGTGGTTTCTCCTGAAACAGGACCCCTACTCTGGACACTGTGTTGAAACTCAGATGTGATGTGGTGAGGATGAGGGGAAAGCCCATCAGAAACTGCTCTCCCTGATAACTATTCAGTCTCGGCAAGCTGTGTGAATCTGTGGCCATAGTTTGCCCTCCTCATCGTGGTGTAGGATACAGGCCCATGTGGCCACAACAATGTGAAAATGCCATCCTAGAAATGCAAGTCTAGTTCCTTAATCCATGTCTTGTTCCCTGCCATGGTTTTAGGGAAAGGGCTTTGGCATTCAGACAAATCATCTGGAAAAGCAAATCTGGGAACTGTCTACTTTGGAGACTGGGGACAAGAGGGAAATGTCCTCCTCCCCTGGCTTTGCCCTGCAGGCTTGAGAGTAGAACTTGCCAAACTGCAACTGGCTGAAAGAGTTGTGTCAAAAAACGTCAATTTTGCATTCCCAGACCCTACAGAAGAGTATCATGTGAACCCGGCTGATGGTTTCAGATGCTTTCAGCTCTAGATGTCTAGCTGCTGTAAGCAGCACAGGAATCCATCTATCCTGAAATGTTTATTAGACCTGGCCAGAAAAGGGAAAACAAACTAAAACATTGTTAAGTCTCTCAGATGCTCTGTGCTGTTCAGCATTACTGGATGTGGCTCATAATCACTGCTTCTATAGATAAGGTCTTATCTGATGAGATAGGTATGGAGCTGCTGCTCCCTCCTCAAAGGTTAGCTGAGGGCAGGTAACTTTGGAAAAACTGCAGTTAGATAAAAGGGGGGGGAAAGGCAGAATGGGAGCATTCGAGGATATAAATAGTCACGCTTCACTTGCAGCCTGCTCATGAAATGGTTCTGTTTTACCAAATATTTAGCCTAATTTAGTCAGTGAAAGCACAAGCTTCAGGCCTTGCCTTTAATGTTCATTCTGAGGAGGAGTGGGAAAAGTTAATGCAATGCAAATTCTTGCCAAGAGCAAATGCTTTTAATTACCACTTTGGATAGGTTAGTAAGAGCAATGAAGCAGGTGGAGTCATTTCATACTTAAAGACGTCTGCACTTTATAATTTAAGAAGTCTAGCAATACCTTCATAAATGCCTTGCCATGCCTTTAAAAAAAAATAGTATTTTCACAATTTAAAAAATGCATTATGGTCACTTTAAAGCTTAAAATTAAAATTTGGACATGCAGAATTTCAATTTTAATAGTGTTTAAAAACCTGATTCAGTGTATCACTGTACTGACTTAAAAACTAAAGGTTC